AAAACTGCGGGACATACACTTTCATATAAATACAATATATTTACACAAGTTGCCTACTATTCAGTTTCGCCCTGATTATCCACAGTCAAAATGAGTTGTTCTCAGCCCATGGCAGAGATGATGTCAGACATTTTTATGGCAATGTCGCCTTTGAGTCCAATATAAACTGGTCTTCTCCAACCCCAGACACCCCACATCAGGGCTGTGTTTGTCATTACTGTCTGAATGATGGTTTTGGTTTTTTCTTGACCTACTAAAGCTGAAACAGTTAAAGTTAGCAGGCTACATGAATATATTAACAATGTGCCTGCCTCGGTATTTCTTGTTAAACTTGAATAAAAACAGTCCTGGGACAGTAGGGAAAAGTTTAGAAAAATACTCACTTCATAAGTAGCGTTATAATGTCGAGTTTAGGGCTCTGTTACACTCAAGTTTGACATATTTCATTGGTGTTAATTAGCCTTGATATTCCAACGATAGCTAATAGTAACCTGAGTCTTTCCTCATTAACCGTTAATAAGCTGAACAGAGATGGCGCTAAAGTAAACCAATGATAACTGTAATTTATGAATTAAATTTAAAAAAAGAAATAAAAGAAATAAAAATACCACTTACCATTTTAATGTCGCCATCCATCTCTCAAACTATGTGTAAGTTAGTGTAGTTGGTGAAAGTTAGCTCTCATACCTGGCGCAAGAAAGGATAGGTAGGTACTGTTGCTATGGTTACCTGCACTTTTGCGCACTGATGCCTGCAACTGTTGATTTTAACGAGACACCTGCCAGCCAATCAGAAACGAGTATCTCGGGGTCTATGGTATGATATTTTGGGAAAAAATTAAAGTTGTCCAGGTTGTAGTGTATGGAAATGAGTCTGCATATTAACATGTGTCAAACAGACAAAAAATGCACACTGCAACCAGGACTGTAGGGAAGTCCCCCCCAAAATTTGACCTGGCAACTCACAAGGTCTCTGAAACACTGTTTATATCTTTACATTTGAACTGTATATTTATAGTTTGTCATTTATAAAAAATATAATCTTTATACATTTGATTTAATCAATCAATATCAAAGCTTTCTTCACACTATCAAGAACAAAGTGGTATGGGGGTGGCCCAAGACTAACCCAATTTGTACAAGACTTACTGTGGAAAATACTAACCAGGTACTCTCCACCAGGTTGCTAAAAACCCCAAATTCACTGGAAATACCAAAGAACATGACCTGCACTTTCAATGGTAGCTATCACCCTGAGGGGCATATCATTGTATCATAATCATGAAGGAAGTAAAAAAAAAAATGGAACTGTTAATGTAAATTAAACCTAGTGTGGTACAATTTCTGGAGTACTTCCAGATTAAGTTTGTTAGAGGCACAAACATCAAAAAAACTAAAACAACTTACAGTACATTCACAAATAAGTTTTATTTTAATCTTTTTATACATTATAACCATATCCAACACATTTTTATATTATAATAAAATGACTCTTCTCCCTTGTCATTTACATAAATCAAAAATTTGTATATTAAGACTGCAAAATAGTACTCCTGTAATTTTTGTATATAGCTTTGTACACATACATGTGCCAATGCATTCATTCTGCTCTGAACGAATGCACATTTTTGGGGGAATAAGAAAGGGCAGCCATAAGCAGAGAGAATACAAGAACTCTAGCAAGACGGCAGGCTAGCAAGTAACACCACCACCATGTGACCAACACTGACCTGGGTTAAAATGTTCAGTCAAACCCTTTGCGCTACTTATAATGTCTGAGGTTCCACTCTGTTGTCTTTTACCATAATTAAATCAAAGGGAAAATTGTATTTCAACCCAAGTCTTTTCCAAAAGCACACTTCTGGCTGGTTGTGTCCCAAGCGAAAGCTTGGAGCGCCACACGTAGCAGTACAGTGAAAACATAACCAAATGTACTTCAGGGGAAAGTACAGACCAACAACAAAGAGAAAAAAAAAATATGTCAAATTAGTCAACGTGATTTAAATTTCATACACATTGCAGAGATTCAGGCTTTTTGATAAAAACACCAGCTAATCATCCCCATCATGATCTTGGGAAATAAAATACACATACAGTATTAGAAAGATAATAAACCATGCTATATCATCCCATGAATACATTATGATCATTGTTTTCTTAATGTCTGTAAAAGACATTCTGGCATATATCAGGCCTCCACAGCATATGCCTCCTCCTGTGTGAAAGAGACAGTGTGGGATGTGAACTGAAATGAATGTTGAGGAAACAATGTCAACACAATTGGAGTGTAGATCACTGAATAAAATAAATGGAAACATTAGAAGTACACTGATAAACTGTTGCATGAATGTACATACAAAAAAAAAACTGATCAGGCATTGAGAAAGTTTAGTAGTCGTAAGTACCCTCTTTGGTTTGTGACACTGTTCACAAAGAGATCCCAAAATAACTGAGACTGACTCCATATACGCCCATCTGTCCTGTTCTCTACTCACAAATTTGATTATTATATTGGAGGCAACTGCGAGTTTTCTGCACACAATGTTTTAGCATGGATAAGTTTGACATGGGGATTTTGAATCAAAATACCTGCATTCACCTTCAATAAAAGCAATTTAGAATTTGCAAGTAGGTAATACGTTTGGATTTCTCTTGGTTTGGAAATCTCTACAGCAAGTAATTTATTAAAATACAGTCCCACAAGCCATCAACTGTTGCCATAGAAAAGATTAATACAGAATATTCAACAATACAAAAGAAGTTTGTCAATCAATGCAAATTCAGCTGACAACACTGGCAGCCCTTCAGTGCTTTACATCCTCTGTAGCAGTGTAGAAAAGTGAGCAGTGGCTACTCTTGACACTGGCATGGTGAAGCTGTGGCCTTACAATACAATGACTCAATGGGCCCTGCTGCTGGTGAAGAAATAAATGAACGGGGGAGGCCAAAACATTTTTTTTTTTTTTTTTCTTTTACCCAAGAGCAAGATGAAAAAAAATGCCAATGTGTGATGGCTTGTGTACATGTATGTGCAGTATATTTATGTGTATGCAAGCAAGACCCAGAGGTGTGTCAGGGCAGTGGGGTCTGTTCACTCAGTGCCGCGGGTGGGAGTACTGGGCTGGTTGAGGCCCATGGTTTTGCACAACCAGCCGGCAAAGTCCACTTCCTCCACTTCTGATCGTTTGATAAACGTGTGACTCTGAAATAAAACCAAAGGGAAACCATTGTTTGTACTGTTGGCATCATTAACACAAAATAAATAAACCCAGTAATCAAGCCAAGTAAATCAGATAAATGAAGTTCAGGTACCCACCATCAGCATCTTCAAATCTGCCCTCTCTGCTGGGTTTTTGATCAAACTGTGGACACAAATGACACACAACGAAGGATTAAGTTGGATTTTATTTTGTGATCTCACTCGACTAGTTTCGGCAACGACCTCATACATTTATGCCTTTCAGTCAACACAGACATTTAATACAAAAGGAGGAAAGTGTAGAAATTTAAGCACCCAGTGTTCTACTATCTATCTACTTCTCAGGTTCCTTTCTTGTGTAAAAGCAGATAAAGAGCAGTGGGATTTTGTTTAGTAGCTCACCATTTTGTCACAAAGTCCTGGAAGTCGTTGGTGAAGACCCCAAGTGGCAGTTTAGGGGGTGGCTGAGGAGGAACCAAGAATCAGACATCAAACAGAATAGTTAACGCAAACACACACTGTGTGCTCGTGTGTACAGAGACAGAAATATGTGTGTGTGTTTAATAGAACTTTCTCAGACCTCGTTCACAATGTAGTCCAAAAGCTCAAAGATGGCCATAGCAGGTCTACTGTCCATCCCATGTCCTGTGGAGAGAAGTCACATATCATGGACACAATTAGTAACATCATTATTTTAATCAAATGTTAAGCAAGATTTCTTATTCAAATCATATATGAAAGTTTTTATCCTGAAAAAATAAATACTACCACTGCTAAGTCTGTACAAATCTACATGTATGAGTTTCTGCCTTTCTTACCGCTCACAGGCCTGCCTGGTGGTCTGGGCCTCTGCATGTTGGTGTGAGGCTCCCCCTCGGCCCCGTCCATAACGGCCCTTCCGAAGATGCCCTCCAGCTCTTTGGCTTCTGGTGGGGGGATGGGGTAGCGGCCAATCGCCAGCTCTACCAGGGACAGACCCATGCTCCACACGTCAGACTGAACCGAGTAGTGAGTGCCCTGCAGTCTCTCCGGCTGTTGAGAAACACACGATCTACGTCAGAGGGAGCAGGTAGAGCCAAGATGCAAGGCAGGAGAGAGGGTTGGGCAGAGGGCTGGGTGGGGTAGGCACAGGAAGTGGAGGAGGAGGGGGGTGTTATGGCAAGAAGAGTTGGGGTGTGGTGAGGGCAAGAGGACAGAGGATGGGAGGGTTTGGCAGGAGGCGAGTAGCTTTGGACTGTTTTAGTGAGAAGGGTGAGCAAGGACAGGTGTGTGTGTGTTGGGAATTATGATCAAAGGGCAAGTGTCTCTACACCACTGGTGCTTTGTGGGTAAGTGATGGGAATAGTGTGGGACAGACAAGCAGCTCTCGGCACTGCACCCACCAGGTGTCTAAGAGTGCGGGGAGAGAAGGACAAGAAAGAGCAAGCACAGTTGCCTCGCTCTTTGCCAGAAAGCCCTGTCCTGGGTACAGCCCTCGGTTCTTGGCAGGGGAGTGAGGGAGGGCCAGAGGAAAGGAAGGCCGAGGGCGGGGCCAGTGAACAAGAGCAATGTGAGAAAAGAGGAGAAGGAAAGTGGGGATAGGGCCAGAGGAAAGGGGGTGGGGGCGCAGGCGTGTTGAGCTGACTCACCGACATGTAGGAGCGCGTTCCAACAAAGGAGTTGGCCATGGAATCTATGAGCTGGCCGCTCACACCAAAGTCGCACAGCTTGATCTCCCCGCGAGAGTTGACCAGGATGTTGGAGGGCTTGACATCTATATGGCAGAGGGGACATGGACAAACAAACAAATGTACATTAACAACAACAACAACAACAACAGTTAACAAATAGCAAGACCACTGCTACACTGGTGTCAATATATATGTGGGCTTGTGTATGTAAGTGTATGTGGGCGTATATGCAGGGTTAGGAATGTACCGTATATGTGAATATATGACTATATGATATGTCTACCATATGTACTGCATCCATCTATGTTTTTCATGTGAGAAACTAAGATGTGTAGGCTTAAAAAACTAATTTCCCGACAACATAGAACGACTTGAGAGACAAACATTCAGACCAGGACTGCAGCCTGCCATGAGAGCCCGCGGGAGGCGTTCTCAGCACCCCCCAAGCTTTGCCTGTGGTGCTGCGTTCATCGAGCAAGGGAGAAAATAGCTACAACTCAAGCTGAGCCCCTGTTATAAACACGGGTCCTCCACATTTCCCGCTCATGGCTGAACAACATCCGGCAAAATAATGGGGTACGACTGAGCCCTGCAATCTGTCCTCTGTGGTGTGTGACCCCCTCCCACCGACCAAGGGCACATGAGGAGTGACTGAGAAAGAGGTGGCATGAAAGAGCGGGAGAAAGATGGAGAGAGACAGAGGGAGGGGTCAACAAGGCGCGGTTGCTGTATAATCACATCTGAGAGGCTGTAATTACCGCCCGAGCTCACAGACAACTGTCGTGGAGTACCACCGACCCTGTAGGACTGAGAGACTGCACTGCACTATGGTGGGTCTGCCTGCTGCCTTCAGTACACACCCATGGTTCCTCACTAGTGTGCTGTGGAAAACTTATCTTCCACACTGCTATGGTGTGACTTGTGATTTTGTTTGAATGCAAAGATAATGGTTTTTACTGAGCCTTTTTTTTCTTCATGCTGCAAATTTCTATGATCAGGAACTCGTGATATTCCCAAATAATAGCTTGCCTTGTGGTGAGCGTGCTAAAGCTCTTCAGATGTTGATGCAGTGCATATGGAGGAAAAAGCATGAAGACAATTAATAAAAATCGAAATAGTACAGGGACGACTGGAGCCGGTCTCGTTAATGTGGTGCATTTTAAGTGGTTTCACTGACAAAAAAGTTCACATTTTGGAAATCGCAAACATACCTAAATGTTTTTGTTGGTGTGTTGAGCTTGTTTCAAAGCAGCAACGATAATGTCAGTGGAAAATTCAAGGGTAATCCTACAATTTTTTTTTTTTTAAATGTGATGTTTAGACTGTAACATTTGCATGGCATGAATGTCTGCTGCCTCACAAGCATCATCAAAAAAAATTTACCCACCACTAATACTCAAAGGATGGGAATCATTATATTACCCACAACAAACGTCCATAAAACAACATCTATATTGTATTATTTCTAAATGAGGACGACTTTCCTGCAATCTGGAACATGGAACAACGCGGCCCTAATGAGACGCCCATATGTACTTTCTATACATTACATGGCTATTGCCAGACAAAAACAACCAAAACACATTTCTAATTCATCTCTTATTTAAACCCACCTTCCTTGTCCTTTCAAAAATAAGAAACATCAAGTCAAACTAGTTCTGGTTAACTGTTGCAGTAATGCTGTTTTTTGCAATACCTTATCAATACCATGATCAAAATTACAAACTTCTTCACACCTACACTGAACAATCCTGAGATTGTAGTGAAAAACTATGCTTGAGGCGCCATAAAATATAATTAACAGTGCATCTATAAACATTTTAGTCATCTTGCTCATAGGATATCTGAAGTAATGGCTTATCAGGATGAAACACAATTCAGGTTCAAGTATTATTTATTCTGAAAGCAATTCACAGGAAATAAATAACTGAAAAAGCAATTGAGAGATAAACACTGTATTCTGTGATGTGCAAATGAATTAATGCTACGTGCTACTACAACATACATTTATAAAACAGTACATGCCACACCTGTATGTAAAAATACACCCTGCTTGTTACCATCATCAGCCCAATTACGTTAGTCAATCGCATATCATTTGACTTAGTAAACTGCATACTTAGTACAACTTGTACTGCAGTGATTAGAAAATATTGCAGAAGGGATTTTGAGAGCAATTTTAGTTTATTGCGACTAGACAACACCCTTACCTCTATGCATGATCTGGTGCTTCTCCCGCAGGTAGGCTAATCCCCTCAATACCTGTAAACAAGTGAGGAAAACATTCATAAAACACAAATATACAAAATACCCAAGCTCAGACTAGAGTCTGTATACACATATATTACAAATAAGCTTTTCCTGAGCACATGTCAATTTAAAACACATATTCCTTTTGATAATTCTGTTATTACACATGGTTATTTGTACTTTATGCAAGAGTTTGAGTTGAGTAAAATACAGCAGGCTCTGTTGTTTGTGACTCATGCTTGACAGCTGGTTAAGCAACACAAGAAAGACACACCCACAATCAACAGCGTATATGAAAAACATGTAAAGTGACAAGTTATAAGAATCCTGGTATTACTGCCAAATTCAAACTGCAGCAAATTACCTACATTCGCTAAGACGCCTGCATCATCGGCCAACATTACTGAGCCCAGTTTTAAAGTTTGAGGTATTATATGAATCTATGCCAATCCCATTTAAAAAAAAATAGTTTCAATTGGTTTTTTGCATGCAATGTAAATGTGTTATTTTTCCACGGGGGTGAAGGGAAAGAGGTCAAAATGACTAACGTGTCATATCTGAAAAATCACATAAAACCACAGAATCTACATTTGTGAATGTAAGAGAATTAATGAACCACATACAGCTATGCTAACTTTCCCCAGGATTTCTTCTGGGATTCTTCTGGCTTCCTTGAGGACCTGGTCCAAGGATCCACCATCCTGTAGAGACAAGTTGCACAATTAAAGTTTGATATACATTTTTTATTTTAAATCAACACATTTTCCGTGTAAAAAGACACTTAATTATTATTAATTAAAAAAAGACAACGTACTGGTATCCAATCACTTTAACCCTATGTTCATTGGTAGTAGGGCCTGCTAACAGTCTGTCTCTCACCATGTGCTCCATACAGATGCTGATCTCACCATCGCTGTAAAAGGCCCCATAGAAGCCCACAATGTAGGGGGAGTTGCATTCATGTAGCACCTGCAGCTCTCTGATAATCTGGTTTCTGATGGCAGGCTTGATTTCCAGGTGGATCAGCTGAAGGGGGAAAGAATGAGACCATAAACTGCTGTGCTAGCACACGGAACAGATCAGTTAAATCATTCACTGACCTTGTTACATCTCAAGATAACACAATACCAAGGTGGTTGTTGGAATAACTACAACACTTTCTCTGTGTTGTGTTAGCAATCTCGACACATATCATTTGGGATTTTACATTTGAAATAGTTTCAATCACTGACACAGACCAGGTGAGTCTACATACACACAGAATGTAGAAACTTTCACCTACTTTTTAAAATACTGATAACCACAATAACAAAGTCAAGAACCCACATTTCCAAGTTGTTTCTCACCATTTAAAGGATTTTCAGGTGTGTCATCACACACTTTGATGCTTGACAGCCTACAAGCTTGTGCTTGCTTGAGTTTCTGCTGCAGTGTCTATATGGAGTCCCGAGAACTTTCTCTCTCATACCTTGCGTTATGATCAAAATAGGGGTGAAGTAGGCCAACTAACTGGCCGCAAACATACAACACCATACAAGGGTGGCAACTAGTTTTTATGACTGATACATATATCTGTATTTGACAGTTTTAAAAACTAACGTCTGTTAATAATCGTTTTTAATGAAATAAACAAATAAAATAGGGAAATACTTGTGATAGGGATCCTTTTAGGTTTCGATATCCAGACATTTTACAGTGGAAAAATAAACCTGTCAGTGACTGCTTGCAATTGACCTCAAACATATCTTTGATATTTCTCAATTTTTACTTCTGGTAACACATTATGCACACTTTATACTGTGCTTATAGTAATAAATAATTACAGTTATAAGCACTCATAAATATTAGTATAATAATAATAATAATAATAATAATAATATATATTCTATTTTATAATGACTTAAAAGTTCAAGTATCATAATACTTCATAATTGCTGGTCACTCACTATTTTTTTTTTTGTCAAGGACCATAGTTTATTATAAGTCTCATAGTTGTAATAGATTATAATCACCTTTAAAGGTTTTGATTTATCTGTGATACGTTAAACTTGAACAATATATTGACCCAGATAACTTCTCTAATATTTGATCTCCTTTTCCATTTGGTGTTTGACACACAAAAATATCTGTGGATCACATTTTTAAAGGCCATAACACCAAACTGTACACTGCTGCTACCAGTCCACAATGAATACATATTTAAATACTGGTCTTGTATAGATGATGTGAACTACTGCAGCTTATAGCTAGCCCTTCAAAATTCTTATTTACGCTAAGAATAACCGCCCTTGTACATTTTCACATACTTTTGTTATCGTGGCATTATCATGGTACATGGTGTGCTTTTCTCCACACAGCAAGCAGGTACAGCAGATCAAACCAACACCAGTGCTATTGTGTGATAAAATCTGAACTGCACTTGAATTCCTTAAACAAAACACCTAAATGTATTTTAATTCAGCTCCCCCAAACTGTCACACTTCACTTGAAACAAAAAAAGAAGTTCATTTTCACCTTCCGAGCCATGACCAACCCCGAGGGTTTGTGGCGGACTTTGTTGACCACTCCTCCGTTTCCAGCACCCAACTCACATATGGGGTCAAAATCCTCATCCTTCAGCTCCCCAACCTGAGCTTTCTGGGTAAGAAAGGCTTCCAGTCGTTTCCTCTGTTGCTCGTCCAGGTCTAGCTCACCCAGTTTCTTCTGTAAGGCCTCGAGGTTGGCTCTGTGAGGAAGAGACAACAGGGTTTAATACAGACACAAAGAGACAGAAATGATAAGACAGGAACATTTAGCAACTATTTAAATGGCTACCAACTTTACACAGTGTTTGTAAATGGTGATAAATCAGCTAAACACACAAACACACAGTAATTATAAGCATCCTCTCTTTAAGACAGGTATATTTAATTTCAACTCATACTGGGGCTACTCACTCAGATGCAGCATCAATGGTGTTGGAGGTGGCCTGTCCTTCCCCAATGGGCGTTATGTTCAGGGGAACGGGTCTTCTTTTGGGAGCCATCTCAATAACTTTCTCAAATAATGCACACTAACAATGCAATGAGCCGGGGAGCTGCGAATCTATCCTTCAACTTGTTTGTAACTCAAGTCTGAAAAAGCAACAGGATCAGCCCTACAAGGCTAGTAACTTGGCTAGCTAGCGTTAGCAAAGTTAGTACACTTTCGGTAGCATGTCAGTCAGCTATGTCGGTAAATACTATCATGCCGAGGTGCTCTTTAGCAGTCAGCTCGTCTTCCGGTGCATCTATATCCTCTGGAGGAGACACATTTCTATGTTTCTGCTTCTTCTGGGTTAGCTACCTGCTAGCTACTAGCCACTAGCCGCCTAGCTGCTATTAGCTGCTATTAGCTGCTATTAGCTGCTATTAGCCGCTCCTGTTTGAATCGTGTCCGGAGTCTCGCTCAGCCTGAACGTGCAGCCCCTCGGTCGCTTCTCAGCTTTCACGAGACAACGGGCCGCCACGGTTTTACCGACAGCTCACACCGGGCGGACACCGGGGGGACACCGACTCGGCCTGTCTTCCCTCCGCAGGACGGCAGCGTCCGAGCTACAGATTCCCTCCGTGTTTCAGCTCTGGGTGTGGGGCTCTGAAGCGATAACAACCGGGCTCTGACTCTGGTTCTGGTTCTGGTTTTGACTCTGACTCCGGTTCTGACTCTGACTCTGACTCTGACTGCTGCTGGTCTTGGTTGAATACAGGAAGCAGCAGCTGTAACATCAGAGCTGTGTGACACCCACAGGGAGAGCCCTTCATAAACAGCGCGAGACTGAGGCCGTCTGACACGTTGATGCTAGAGATGAAAGGAAATGTCTGTAGGACATCTGTAGTTTGTGATAACGGCCCCGGTGTGCTGTTTTTAATGAGGTAAAAAGCCCAGTTTAACATTATCTTACCCCCCGCTGCTTTCTTATGTGTTTAACGGCTGTTAGTAAACAAGCTGTGAAGGACATTACTGCCATCCAGTGGCACCAAGTGTTATCTATGTTTAGATCAGTGGTTCCCAACATTCTTCCTAAAGGGAGCCCTTTTTTATTATTTAGTGACCTGACGACCCCTGACTCAGTGACATATTCATATTATATGTACAATGAACCCAGATAGTGAACTCAGACAGAGTGATTTGGATGGATTTTGAACACATTTAGGGAACTTTATATACGATTCTCTGTCTGTTATGTATTTTTTTTAAATAATTTTTAACTATCACACATATTCAGTGTTTTCTTGTCTTTGACACTTGGCCATTGTTCTATTTACTTAACATTTCTTCACATAACTGAACCAAATGAAATTTTTGTAGCACGCCTTAAAATCAAGAAGGCTTCATGACCCCCGTAAAGCTTTAGCAACCCCTAATAGGGGTCCCGACCCACAGGTTATTATTGATTATAATTAAAGATTATGTTATTAAACATAGAAATTCAGTACATTTTTAGTGAAAAATACTTACAGGGTAAAACATTTGCAATTGTATTTCTTGTTATTCTTTTAAATTGTGTTTGAAGTGGTAGGTCTGTATTCCTACTAAAATAATGAGCTCATTATGATCTAAGCCCGTAGTAATGGTTTTCAGCCTCAAGTGATGATTCTTTTTACATAATATAATATGCACTCCTTTATATTTCTGTCAAGAGCTTGAATGTACAACAACCACCAACACATTAATCAAAGTTTCAATTATTCAGTTTCCAAAATTACAAACTTCAGACCAGCTGCAAATAGAGCTTGCGGAGGGATTATTCTGTCAACTGCTGTTTCCATGGTCGAGAATAAATAGAAAATGTGTTGTGAGTGTTGAAGATCATGTGATGTGATTGAAAGCTACAGAACAGCTACTGATAGATATTGTGGTGAGATTATTTTGTCAGTGAACTTTGAATTTCAATTTCATTTGTTGTCTGCATCAGTAAACTTTACTATACTTGATGTATCTTATGCAGAATATTGATACAACTGGAGCTATCCCCCCAGCAGCTGTATGCCTGCCTGTCCACACTCAGATAATATATGTGGGGAATATTTGGATGGAATTGTATTAAAGGTACAAAGTGTTTTTTTATGCTAAAGGAAAGTTATGACTATATTGATGATACATATGTATGATTCCAGTGAATATACATTACACATGTGCTTGATTACTATGCACAGATGGATTCTTATAGAGTATAACTAGTGGTGGTAGTGGTGCTTTTGTTCTCTCCTGCCATTTTTAGATCTGAAGCCTCACTATGAGCTGTAGTAGAAACTGACTCACCATTAGCTAGGCACACTTCAGTTTCTTTGCAGTCACGTGACACCAATGATGCTTGAAATTCAGAATGAGGCAGTAAGTGAAAGGCAGAATGGATGAGATGGAAAGATAAAGGCCCGTACTGTGCTGCTTACTGTTTACTCAGTGTGTCATTGCAGTCAAGGTATTTGATATGACCCAATTCATTCTCAAATTATGACTAAAAACATGTTTTGAGACCACCGTGACCTGCGTCGAGTCAGTTCATCCTTGAGTCCAAGTGGATGTTCATGTTTGTGTTGAAGAAATTAACTGAAAGCGTTCCTGAGATATCGTGTTCACAAGAATAGGACGTATAGACGTATGGACACAATACCACGTCCATACATAATGCTGATGGCCACAGCTATCACTGAGGCTGAGACATAAAAAACAACCCTCTTCAGTGTTTCTGTTAACAAACTCTGATAAATGTTGTACTTATCATCAATTTGTTACTCCATGCAGCTCTATCAGCAGACAGACATAAAAGCCCCTATAATGGTGTTGTCTGTCAACCTTCAGCAATGGCGCTGTATATCAAGTGTCATCATCTTTACTCACTACCACTTTCCTTCCTCTTTCTCTCACACACACACACACACACACATACAATGTGGTAAAGGCAAGAAGTTTCTTTAACCAAATATGCCCCTGTAGTAACTGTGCATTTTCTCACCTTTAAATTTGCTGCTGACATTTTTTTAGGAGCTTTGACAGCTGA